GTCGGTCATGCTTTTCATTTACATTGCATTGCTAAAGTTGTGCTAACCTAGCTTAAGTTACTCCCTGTCTATGTAAGCAATAACATCGCTGTAGTTATGCCAACCTAGCATAGCGTTAGCTAAAAGCTTAACAGCCAGTAATAACTGCAGAAATAACGTAAGTGTACAAAATATTTTAGAGTACAGAACGACCGTTCATCACTCTGTCAGCTTGTTATTAATAATATCAATGTTAGTTCAAATGCTAAAGGTATGTTTTGATAATCCATGAATCTAACAGTGTGGATAAAATAAATGCAGGACTTTAACATTGGCTGGAAATCACAATATGGTGGAGGTCTGCGCTCTCAGAGTGCTTTTCTAGTTATTGATATGATGCTTGTTCACTAGTTTCTCACTGGATTTATCTTTAAAAAATGTGTTGTTATTGTTGTCAATGTGACCACAATCATTATTATTATCTTTGCTTTATTTTTAGTTTTTTTTTTAACNAAATGAATGTTATTGACTGAATATTTCTGTGATAACAGTCTAATCCATTTCCTATTTTGTGTTCCATTAGCTGCAGTACCAGCAGTGTAAAACTGACTTGGCAGGAAATCAGGAAGAAGCATAGAAACATATTTATGTTTTTTTCTGCATCATCAGCTGAACACATGCAAGTTACCGTGGCAATGCAATGCACACAGTGTACAATTACTGTATCTGCTTCATTCAGTGGTAACAGTAGCTTTAAGCTGAACAGATTTGTAGATATAACAATTAAGTTGACACTTGATGTCAACTTCAAGTACACTGTCTAAAAGCAGGATTCAGAATAGAAACAACCCTCCACAGCTTGAGTGACCATTATGAAGCCTTTTATGGTTTTAACAGATTTATTAAAAATCCAGGCAACAGCTGGAAGACACTGACAATTATGCATAAATATAGATACAAACATTATTCACAAACTATGACTATGATGTGAAATCCAGTCAGTCGAGCTGAATAAAACCTCAAGTCAGGGTGACCTGCCTTACTGTATAACTATTTAAAGACATCAGATTTAGAAATTAGTTGGCAGGTACAAAACCAACATACATTCAGCAGTGGAAGTAAAAGAATACAAAACACAATTTCTGGACGAAGCCTGCAGTCATTACACACAGGATATCAAAGTAACAAATGATCAAACATGGTAAAAATCATAAGAAGCTAACTGGATCACACTTGTCCTTACAAAGCTCTATGTAGACAACATGCTACAGTAATGTCTGGATTGTTCACGACCATCATTACACTGAACACTAGCCAGAAGAAAATTAAAAAGATTTTTAACCAGAAAAGATGACTTCAGCCGTTCGCACTACAAAATCGTCAGGAACAAGTAAAGACATCAGACTAAATTATGCATGAGATGGTTTGTTTCATACATATAACTGTAAATCTTGACATCACAGATGCCATCAAAGAGATTTTTAAACACAACTAAAAACTTAACTCCTGTTCACTGCAAACAGAATAGTAAATAAAATTATGTTTCTCTTTCATTTTATTCAAAGTGCTGACACGTACAACAAAACATAACGTTAAAAAGACTGCTGATTGGCTGCAGTTGGTTTGGAGGAGAGAAGACCTCCAGTTAGACAAGTGAAGATATTTGTTGAGCGGGAAACAGAGCTAGAGGTCAATTCAAACTAATTTCCAATCAAAATGCTGATTCTCTTACACTAAGAAAGTCTGAAATATACACAAAAAGAGGTGGCCTAACACCAGCTTTCTCACACCAGGTGACATTAGGCCTCTGTCTTGCAGTGACTCTATCTACGTTGCTTTCAGCTTTTTAAAATAGCAGGACTCCTATTTTGGAAATGCAACAACTTGATACATAAATTGCAGTTTCAATAATAGTCAACATTTTCTTGGATATCAGTGAATTGATTGCCGTTCTGGATTCTGCTTCTTCATCCACCTCATGTGTTGCAACTCTCATCATAAGAAGGAGGAGCCTCTGTAACAGACAGACACCATCAGACCAGCTGCTTAGCACTCAAACACCGTTACATATCACTTAATTAGTCGTTGAATTAGTCGTCTTGTCTTGTAGTGGCAACAATTAGCCAAATATATAGCCAAAATGCTTAAGACATTATTTTGATCAATATTAAGATCACAATACAAAAATCAATACACTTTCACATTTAAATAAAGACAGCACTGTTTTCATGTTAATGCTGTGCTACATTTCTGCCAATGCCAATACAGCAGAAGCTGCTCGTCAGCTGTGCACAGAGAGCCTCGAGTCTCCACTCAGGTACTGCAGTCGCTCAAAAATTACTCTGAAAAGAGTAAAACAACCAAACTGACACCAAGTGATTTTATCAACATGAGCTTTCATCTATGAGCAGAGCATTTTAAATGTCAATATTGCATTTGACTTTGTTATTTTAAATATGAAAAGCCAAGAATCATGGATGTGATAAATAAAATAATTTGAACTGATTGGAAGTATTGTTGGCATTTTCACCATGTTCAGTGGTTTAGTGGGATGGTAGAAAAAGAACCCACATTATGGTAGCGCAAGAGGACACTGCTCTGATACATTAGTTAGTGAAAATCATGAATAATAAAAGTGAAATGCATTCAAATGTTGCATGTCAGATCTGGTAAGAATAGAGGGAGGGTCTAACAAAAGATTATTCAGGAAATGGTGTTTTTGTAATTTTGACTCATTCAAGCTGCTACAATTTTTTTTTTCTATCTCTGCAGTACTTCAACTTTATAAAAGTCCAACAATAATCAATTTCAGTTGATTTCAATATTTTCCAATGACTCCCAGAATCAAGGTAATTTGGGGGGAAATGAATTGCCTTGATTTAAAGTTGCATGACCCATACAGTCCAAATTAACTGGAAATAAGTCAAGTCAATCTAAACCAGAATTCTCCCTCAACAACTGGACTGAAGTTGCACAACAGGTAAGTCACAAATGTAAGCTGGATTTTTGACTTGGGCATCAATGCTAGTAAGCTATGCCAACCAACCTTGTGGATAAGCAGAAGTGTCGTAGTTGGGAGGCACGATGAGTGGTGCTGGCATTGAATTGGCGGTGTTAAGAGGAGGGTAAAGGGTTGTTGCCCCTGCAGAGCCACTGAAAGAAGGCCCGCTGGGGACAGTGGCAGGCCCACTGGGCAGCTGGCTCTGGGAGAAAAAGAGACCTGGAGCATAGCTGAAAGCATTGGGTGACACCAGCTGAGACTGACGCTTGTTGGGAAGGTCATCATTCATCTGGGTCCCACCCTCTGCCCCCAAGTGGTCCTCAGCTGGAGGAGCACTGGGGGAGTTGTGGGAGGACATCCTGGAGCGAGGGGCGGGACGGGGAGCAGGCTTTGGGGCAGGGCGAGGGGGCAGTGTGGGCGTGGAGGCAGAGGCAGAGGTGTCTGGTGTAGAAGTAGAGGTTGGTGCATCTTCAGTGGAGGGAGGGGCTGCTTTTTTGGAAGGACGCAGTTTTTTGTCGAGTGAGACATTACCGATGTGGATGGGTAATGTAAGCTGGACGTCAGGAGACTTCAGATTGACCTGATTCATCAGAGGAA